TGCATTAGGCTAATCAAACCAACTCACAAGGCTGAACTCTGCTGATTTCCTTACTCATGCAAGTAGTTCCATTGAATTCAACAAGTTCAAAATCAGGTCCACTGCTTTCAATGGGACAACTCACATGAGTAAGATTTGGGCATAGTTTGATGCATTTTGTTATGCTAGTGAGCTTAGGAAATAAAAGTTCGAGACTTCCAAGTAAATTAGAATGTCTACTAGACATCATGTCTAGTTCTCCGTTTTCTTAAGTGATAAAGAACAGAAACACAAAGTTATTCAGATTTTTGCATTGTTAAGGGTTTGTGTTTTTTGCACTAATATGCATTTATCAGTCCTCTTCTATTTGAAGCAGCATTATCTGAGCACAAAGCTGGGAGCCAGGAACTCCTGAGTTCTAATCTCAAGACTTACTCTGGAACTCTACTTTGTGTCTATTTCTACAGCTATAAAATGGGGATAATATTTATTTGCCTTACAGAAGTATCACAAGCATTAGTTAATGTTTGTACAGCAGTTGGATTCTGTATAGCACTATACAGGAACTATTATTATTTGATCAATTCCTAATAAAAATCATCCATCTGTATTTCTGAGGTTTACATTTAAAAAAAATTCACACATTTACACTTTTAACTCTTCTGTCTCTTACTCTCCTTTTTGGTATTAAGTCTCTCCTATTCCCCTCTGCACACACCCAGGTAGCAGTTGGTTCCAATCAACTTATTTAAATTTCCATTTAATGTTAACGTACGTGTGTGTGTGTGTTTATTAATTATCACTTCTTAAACACTACATTTAAAAATGTTCCAAGGATAACAAACACGTTCCAAGGATATGGTCACTAGGTGTGTTCATTAATGTTGTTTTTGTTTACGATATCTGCCTCATTTCCTAGGACTTCTACAATATTCTTTGAGCTTGGTTACTCCTAAAAACCATGTAGTGAAATCTGTGTTGCTGTAACTTCAGACAGACACATACGCTTGTTCAGAATACATCTGTGGTAAGCATCCAAAATCTCCTGAGACTATTTCTTTGATCCTCTCTCCCTGCATTAGCATCTTAGATTTGTGTGTTATTCTTAGTTATAATTGGTTAGATTCCAATGTACTTGTTGCAGTACAAAACCTAAGTAATAATCTAAAAAACAGATAGTCCCTTCCTTGAGGATCTGACAATCCAAGAGATAGAAAAAGACATAACAAGGCACAACAGCATACTCAGAAAAAGTTAATTGGATTCCCCCCCTCCCTTCAGTTAGAATGTTTACATTTCCACAAACATATCTATTTTGGAAGTCCCATTATCCTTTTCAATTCAAATCCAAGTTCAAAATTAAATTCATATACTCTTATTTCTTCAGAGGTAATACCTACCCTTCAGATTTGGTTGTGTTCGTGCCACAGGTACATTTCAATCTTTATTTAGTGAAGTTTCAGTTACTCCAAGGATATCACAGTTCTTATTCTGTCGAAATTACCCATATCCCATCCTTGTATACAGTGAGGTCTGGTGTTATGAGCACAGAGTTGAGAGCCTATCCTTAGCTATGCTACTTATTTTGGATATGGCCTTGGGCAAGTCATATCATCTTTCTGTCTCAGTTTCACCATCTGTCCAATGGGGATAATAATACTTACCTCACCAGTGTGTTGGGAGGATTAATTGTCTGTACAGTGCTTTGAATATGGAAAGCATTATAGAAGTATTATTATTGGGCACCCAAAATTCCCACTGAAATCCCTGATTTTTGAGTGCACAAGGAATATAGGGCCTGAACCTGCATGATACTTTTGGGATAAATTCTGCGAGGAGATGCATGCATATGGCTTCCACTATAGCCACCCATCTACAAGAAAATCTCTATTATGCCAATACACTACCCCAATAAAAGAGTTAAGTTTATACCTTTCAACCTGTATCAAGATGATAACCTTTCATTAATGCCAATACTCCTTGTAGTGTAACTCAGATCCTCACCACTGGAATGTCTTTGCACCTGTAAACGCAACTTTCTTCCTTTCCCCCACAGATCCCTAAAGAAAGATGTTAAATAGCTTCTTTCAAAACTCAGATGCTCTTTCCCTTGTTAAATTTATAACCTTGTATTGCAGCACCAAAGCTCTTGCAATCTCCTAGATTCTAAAATAATCCATCAATCCCCTCTCCTCAATGCTTTTGCCCTTGGCAAAGCACTAGCCCAAGGGAGAGCAACTCAACAGAAAAATGTGAGATTTCATAAAACATATAATTCAGACCCTAACTGAAAATCTCTTTTTCCGACCTCTGCAAAAGCTCCACTTTCTAAAACACATTGACTGTCTCCTGCAGATTTTTCTTTCTTTGCTACATGTTTTGCTCCTCTGTGCAGTCACTCCACCCTCTTTTTGCTGTCCCTTCCATTCCATTATCTCCTCCAATATCCTTTCCCTGGTCTCAGTTTCTGCTGCATCTTCATCTGCAATCATCAATTTCAAACAAAACTACCACTTCTTCACATCAAGTCTTTGGACCAGTCCTTGATTTTCTAGCAACCATTTTCTTGTCCCTTCTCGAAACAGAATTAGAAAAGGCAGAGGCTGAATTTTTAAAAGCAATACAGGGGTTTTAGCCAGACATTTTTCATTGCTTTGAAAATCTTCACCCCAGACTTTAAAGCAATGGTAGAGATTTCTTGTGATTACTTCTCTTCTAAGCCACAAACATTCTAATGTTGTCCCCAGTTTACATGGCAGAAACATGAGGTGACTTATAAAGGTATAACTGTAAAGCTCGGGTGATGGCTTAGATCCCACTCCATGGTTAACTTTACACACTGTAACTATTTCCACTGACCTCAATGGGACTATTTATAGTGTATGAAATTAAGCATACCTGTAATATTTTCAGGGTTAGGGCCCAAGGGCTCCACGCTTGGTGTAAAATATCTAGAAACCAAGAAAGCTCAGGTACAGCTCAGCCATTTATTCTTCAAGGAAACAAACTGAGTTCCTTGCCACTTGCTACAAGTTGGGACATTAGGAACTGCTCTACCTGGGCACTGAAGATCTTGTGATCCCATTGTCCTTCTCAGTCAAATATTTCCTCAGCCCATGTGGTGCGGTATGCTGTGCAGATTGGCTATTCATGCCTTCCATCCCAGAAGTGGACCCCTTTAATTTTTACCATAGGTATAAAATTTGTTTTTAAAAGGGAACTTAGGATCCTTCAGGGAAAAAAGTGATATTGTATAGTTTACTACCATGGGCTAACGTCTTGAAAATTGGGTGTGTAGACACATAAGCACCTGAAAGTTGGTGCTGCCAATTTCCACTGACTGATGTTCCTACATCTTCAGAAAAATCTTACTTAGGTACCTAATTACGGCTTTATGATCTTAACTTTAGGCACTCATTTGAAAATATTGGCTAGGGTTGCCTCATGTTTTAGGGGTAAACCTGTGGTAATTCCACTGAAGCAAAACCTAAGTTTTCCATCAAACAGGCACCCAAAATAACCCACACTCACAGTTTTTGCAGAGCTTTAAGGACACATCAGTGTATTTGATTGAGATGCTCTACATCTGAAGTGATCATGGTAACTCTCAAGTGTTCATTCTGTACCTGAAGTTCTAGAATGGACAGATGACCTGGGTTAGGAAGAACTATTGCAGGAAAGCTAGAGGTTGACTTGAATAAAAGAATCCTGGGGTTTGTCTTGAATTCTCCAATGAAAGAACTGGAGAACAATAAATGCTAAAGTCTTATAAAGCTCTACAAGGGTAAATACAGACTGGAGATGACCTGATCTGGAAATCTGAGTATGAGTAATTGCTGAAGGATTTCTCCGGAAGTATTGCCTCTCTCCTGAATTTACATACTTTTCTTACTTGATATTGATTTATCTATTGGGCATAAATCATAGAAAGGCAGCATCTTCTTGGAGCAGGGGGGTGGGAGTTTTATTCTTCACTCTGTCACTGACTCACGGTGTTGCTTTGGACAAGCCCCTTCACTTCTCTACGTTTAAATTAACTGTCTATAAAATATTGCTTGTACACAGACAACTGCATGCTGGGGCACAATAGTGTGACTTTGTATTGGTTAGGTTCCGGTGCTTACCAGGCATCTATTGATTCGGGTTTTTTTTTTTTTCTTAAAGTTGCAGCTCCAGCAGTAAGTGATTATGGGTGAAACTCAGCTTTAATTAGGGAAGCCAAAAAGTCATTAACCCTTGTGTTTGTGGGGAAAAGCTGGAAAACATGACCCTTACCTGCTCAGGAAACAGAAAGCAAATGAGAATAACCCAACAGCTAGAGGTTCTTCTTGTTGAATGTTGTACATTTTTAAGGCCAGGCTCACGGTTTTTGCTCACTTGGTGAGGATAATGCCTCGGGGGGGGGGGGGTGCCTCCTGCTCTGAGGGGAAATGGGAACAGCTCCCTAGGTCCGAGGTGGGGACGAAGAACCCCTGCTCCCACCTGCCCCTCACCTCAGCCCCCCACTCCCGCCCCACCCCCAAGTGAAGGGCGGAGGGGATTCCACCAACTCGACTACGAAAGTTGCGCAAGCATCACAGCATTACCTACGCTAGTGGCGGCTACCGCGCTTGCCTAAGAAAAGCACCCTCAGGTGCAGCCCCAGTGCCGGGAGCGTTACGGAAAGTCCGTAAGAGACACTGACCTCTTTGAAGAGTTACGGGATTTACGTACGGAACTGTCTCAGGTGCGGCCTCGGCCTTCCCTAACCGCCAGACTTACGGAATCTCCGTAAACGCGAAGGGACGGGAGGCCGGCGAGGTTACGCCGCTCACGCAAGGAGCGATGGTCTCAGGTAAGGGGCCGGCTTCTCGAAGCGAGAGGACTTTACGTCAATTTTGCAGGGGGGCATTTGCCTACCGGCGAGCCGGCCGTTTGCGTCGTGAGGGCCGGCATCCCTACGTGGTTAGCGTAAGGCGCTCGCTCAGGTGCAGGGAGGGGGCGGGCTCGCGCTGCCCGGCAGCTCCAGCCTATGGGGGCGCGGGGCGTTGTCACGTGCCGGAGCCCCGCTCGCTGCTGCGGAGCCGGAGGCGCTGGGCGAGGGGACGGAGCCGGGACGGGGACCGGGGCTGCACTGGCGGCGGCGGAGAGTGGGGTAAGGGGCCGTCGGGGCCGGGGGCCTCCCTCGGAGACACCCCCGAGGGGCGGGGACCGGCCGCCGCCCCTCCCAATGCGCCGGGCGCTGCGGGCAAGGGCAGGACACGGCACTGGGGGGGGGAGGTGCACAGATGGGGGATGGGACGGTGCACGGGCAGCGGGGGGAGGCGCGTGGGGGGCGGGGTGCACGGGGAGCAGGGGGGCGCGTGGGGGGCAATGGGGAACAGGGGGAGGCGCGTGTGCGGCAGTGGGGAGCAGGGGGAGGCGCGTGGGGAGCGGGGTGCATGGGGAGCGGGGGAGGCGCGTGGGGGGCAATGGGAAGCGGGGGCGCGTGGGGGGGCAATGGGGAGCGGGGGGAGCGCGTGGGGGGCAATGGGGAGCGGGGGGCGCGTGGGGGGCAATGGGGAGCGGGGGGGGCGCATGGGGGGCAATGGGGAGCAGGGGGGAGACGCGTGGGCGGCATTGGGGGGCGGGGTGGACGGGGAGAAGGGGGCGTGTGTGGGGCAATGGAGAGCAGGGGGAGGTGCTTGGGGGGCGGGGAGCAGGGGGGTTGTGTGTGGGGCAATGGGGAGAAGAGGGGGCGCGTGTGCGGCAATGGGGAGCAGGGGGAGGCGCGTGGGGGCGGGGTGTATGGGGAGCAGGGGTGCACGTGGGGGGCAATGGGGAGCAGGGGGAGGTGCATGGGGGGCAATGGGGGGCGAGGAGCAGGGGGGCGCGTGTGCGGCAATGGGGGAGTAGGGGAGGTGTGTGTGGGGCAATGGGGGGCGGGGTGCATGGGGAGCAGGGGGAGGCCCGTGGGGGGCGGGGTGCATGTGGGGGCCTGCAGGCAGGGTGCACCGGTAGGTGGGATGGGGCTCAGCGGGAGGGGGTGAGGAAGATAGGGGCATGATACATGGGGGCCGCCTGGGGGGGCTGCAGGCGGGCTGGGTGCATGGACAGCTGTGGGGTTCCCGGGGGCTGCTGGATGCTGTGTGCAGCGGGTGTGGAGAAGCTGGAGACAGGGATGGAGGTTGGGGAGCTGGGAGTGTGAGAATCGGGGGCGGTGCACGGATTGGGGGTCTGCTCTTTGAGGCACAGTGTGCATGCATACACGGGTCCTTTTGGGGACTATGAACAAGGGGATGTTCTTGTGTGGGGACAGCCACTGGGGGCGCCAGGGAGGCTGCTGATGCAGACAGTGAATGGGGGGTTGGCGCTGCTGGGGCAGCTCATGATTGGCAAAGCTGTAGCTCACGAAAGCTCATGCTCAAATAAATTGGTTAGTCTCTAAGGTGCCCCAAGTACTCCTTTTCTTCTTTCTAATCTGTTTTTTCAGTTTTTTTGTGGTGTCATTTGGGAATTTGGGGGGGGGGGGGCATTGTGCATCTGACTTTGCAGGGCTGGTTGTGAGAACCCTGTCCCTTAGGGGTCCTAGTGCAGGTAGCGTCTTAGGCACAGGAAGCTGTCCTTGCGCTAAATCCTCCTGCCCTGTTTTGTGCATGGGATGGGTGCGTACTTGGGAGCAGGTGTGCACCTGGCCTGGAATGTTAGCTAGTGGTTCAGCCATTATGAAAGCATTGTCCTTAGTTTGTGCCCAGTGTCACTTGGATTGGTCTGTTGGGCATGGAGGTGAATTTGTTTAGCTGCAATATTACCTCTGTAGAGAATAATAAAAGGACCTTTCAGCCCAGAGAAAGGAGGGAACTCCTTTATGTGGAAGTGTGGTGCTTTAAAACAGGGAGAAATTGTCATGAAATTACTTGTTCTGTTTATTCTCTCTGGGGTATTTGGCATTGGCTATTGTCGGAAGACAGGAAACTGGGCTAGATGGACCTTTGGTTTGACCCAGTATGGCCGTTTTCTTATATCCTTACATATGTTCTTGGTTGACAGAATTAAGGGCTTGTGATCAGAATTTTGCTACTGCTTAGTTGGTGTGGTGCATTGTATTGTCTACTAGCCTACCTTCATTTAAAAAATGAAATGGTCATGCTTCCCGGTGACTTGTGAATATTCTGTGCTGTGTCTAGGTATCTTTGATTCCTGTGACAGTTTTGCATCTCTTCTAATTGAGAGAGCTGTGTCTTTCTTTCTATTTTTTTCTTTCTGGATTTGGTCTGTACTGGGTATTAATCATTAACCCACTGATTTCGGTGGCGATGGGGGAACCGCAGTGAAAGATAGCTGGGGAATCAGTGGAGGGATGCTGACTAGAGCAAAACTTAGTTTTCAATAAAAACAGAAATTATGTTATCCACTCGCATATCTGATTATTTATATACATAGCACTGAAAGTGTGCTATGGACATTAAGAAAAAACGGCGTTATTCCAAAGAGCTTGTAATCTAAATAGACCATGTAAAGCTGCAGGATATCATGTAAGAAAAATCTACATGAAGTTTCATACATGTCTGGTTAGTTCCATATTTATTTAAATTGTCTGTAATTTAGTACTGGGATAGAGACCGGGGTTTCTTGGTCTCTTGGAAGAAGTATATATTTGAAGCAACACTGTTAGCTTAAATTTGACTCATCATTTACATTTTTTTAAAACAAGCTATTTTAAATCCCCAAGCCAATAAAAATGTTTGCACAATTAAAAAATAATTCCAGTGAAAACAGCTATGATCCAGCATTGATCAGAATGTATATTTGTCTGGAGCCCCAATCTTGCACAATTAAAGAGTGAAAGTGAGACTGATTTAGTTGATTTTTTTTAATTCATTGTCCAAACTGAAAGAAATGCAAATAATAAGCAGAACATAAATAGTGACCCACGTAGCATTTGTAAAAGTACTGAATAATGTAAGGTCCTTGTAACATTGGTAAAGAAATGATTGTTAGTGAAGTGATTTTTTTGAGGTAACAGTGGTGACACTTTAAGAGGGACCCAAAGGAAGTGATGGTGGAGGCATGAGGCCCAGTGTCTATTGAGAAGAGAGTGGAAGAAGGATGTGAAGAGCTGGCTAGTTGTGTGTCTTGGGAAGAAGAGCCTTAAAAACTTGGCATTGCTTTTTTGTGGGGTGAAGGGGGAAGTGTTAGTGTCTCTACATAGATCTTTTACGGGCATTACAATAACACCTGGTGTGGGTGATGCTACAAGCCGATCTCTGAAAAGCAAAGGGCCTTTTCAAGCATTGAAAAGGCTCCAAGTCTTGCGTGTGCAGTCAAAGACTTACTGTAAGTGATGGGACCTTGTGGCTGGTTGCCAGTACGGAGAAATAGGAAATACATGACAGCCCGTCTGGGCCGTTTCTAGCTTCCACTGGCTTCTTGGTGGTTTTTAGGAAGTTGGACTCACCTCTGAAAGTTCTTGGCAACATCATCACTATTTCTGTCTGGAACTTTCCAGTCTGTTGCTTTTACTCCATTCTGGTGTGATGGGCATGGGAGAGAGATGGTATCATTTGTGATTGGCACTGGTAAGATTTTGGTGTGTTCAGTTGTCCGTTCCTAACAATCTTGCCGCTCTTAGCATAGTGTGTGGTGCTGTCTTAGCATCCTTGGTATAATTGTTTTTGTTTCCATTACTAATCCCCCACCCCCTTTTTTTTTTGTAAAGGAATTGCTTTTGTATATACTGCTGTACATGCATCTACTTGGAGGTACTGAAATTATTATTATTAAAATACTGGCAATGTGATTGTCACTGTACAAGAAAACCACAGGGAGCATATTGTCTAAATGCACAATAGAAATCCCGTACATAATTACTGGGAGACCTAAAGGAAAACTCTATCTTGGAATGCCGTTTTTAAATAAAGGGCAGGGAACAGCAGTTTCACTGGTGTGGCTCAGGTGGGTGTGAGCGTCAATTAAGAGGTTGAGCTTTGAGGACCCATTTGAAAGAGGGAGTCCTGGTCACACACAGGGGTTTGAAAGTAAATTCTAGGCAAAGCAGACCTTGAGCCAATTAAGGCTGCTAAACTGTTAAGGTTCAAAACCCCTCATTCCTAAAATTCTGCGGAGGTGTCCTGCAGGACTGAGATTTTGAACGCTTGCTCTCGGCTGAAAGGGGAATCCTTTTTGGAAGTTTGAAGGAAGCTTGATCAGCCACGTTGTGCTGTGCAAGTCTGAAAACCTCACTGCAGAATAATAATAAAATAAAACCACACATTTTTCCATGTTGCTTTGGTAGCAGCTGAACTTTGAGACTTGGCATGTAAATAGAGCTCTTTAAAGAGCACGTTCATGACTGGAGGAGGGGCAATGCTCTGGTTGGTTAACAAGTTATAAGCAAGTGAAAAGTCACTTGTGAGCATGCTCAACAAGGCATCTGTTAAGACGTTTAGCAGGGTTTAGCAAAGCCATGTCTTCACTGTAGTAGATATTCTCCCTGTCTGTTGTGGTCTGACCATGGGCCCAGCTTCGGCCCATGGTCAGACCACAACAGACAGGGTGAATATGGTGGTGGTGGTGGTGTGTTTTATGCTGCTTCTGGGACAGTTTGTGTAGATGCAGCACAATCCTCTCTCTGCCTCCCCTTTCTCACCTGCCTCCCCCAAATCAACAAACCACCCAGTGCCTTAACCTGAAAATGAGAGAAAGTAGGGTCACTCGTGAATGAAGTGGGTTAAATGAATGGCTCTAAACTGGCTGTGGTACTCTATTTAAAATCTGTCTTCAACAAGAAAACTAAGGAAAGCTTAGGCAGTGAGGAGGGATTTATGAAAAAAGCTGTGGGTGAGGTATACGGAAGCTTATTAAGGAAATTAGCAAACTTATTGTACCACTGATGTGTTACTAAAAATGTACAAAGACTGGAGAGGAGCAAATGCAGTACTGATCTTTGAAAAAGGGAAAGGGAGAGATCCTGGTAGTTACTACCCTTTACGTTAACTCCTATCCACCTTTAAAGTAACAGAGCAAATATTGAGGGGAAAATGAACAACTAGAAGTAGCAGATTTATAAATAGATGTCTAGAGATAAACTTGTTGGGTCTGGATAGAATTACAGAATTAGGACTCAGTCCTGCAAAACTTGCTCATGATAATAACTTCATGTGAATAATCCCATTG